GTACCTAATGGAGATTTATCAAAAAGTTTTCAAATAATGTCATTTTTGTTACAATTGCATGAGTACGGCTTAGTTTAATTATATCAATTATTTTGACTACGTAACAAAGAACTCAACTGTGACGTTTTTGTTCTAAAACTAGAAGTATAATTATCATTGCGTTTTGATAACAATTGAAGTTAGGAATTCTAGAAATGGAGATTTCCAGAGTAAAATCTTGTTTTTAAAAAAGAGTTCTTTGGAAATGAAATTCAATTATCGAGATATGTGTTAATGCCGACAACCTAATCTGCAGGACTATATTTGGCGTTAATTGATTGACGCGCTTTGTTGAACCGGGTATACTACTTAGTACTTGTCCCCCTACCCTCATGGGAGTATTTTTKCATCACCTTTCATAGTATTTATTTAATTAAAACTGCCAATAACCAATTAGCAAGTCATTTAAAGAAAAGCTTACGGCCCTAAAAGTGTCTGTTCTACAACTCAACGTCAATATATTACAAAAAATATGGAATATTACTATGGAGAAGTAATTGGATTACAGTAATCTTTAAATTTTCAAAGAAAGTGAAAAAAAAAATCGAAAGTGTTTTAAAATTTTAAGGCGATAATTATTTTTTCCTTTTTTTAGCGGCATTATTTTAACGTGGTTTCCATATTTAGCTTTGTTAAGAGCCACAACCCTGGACTGGACCACGAAATATCATTATGGTCTACCATAATTTCCCAGGTATGCATAGCGCMCCTTCGAGTCGAATGAAGCTCCGTTAAACATATGAACAAACTATTGGATAATTCCATAGAATAAAATATTTTAATAGTTTATATGACCTGGGTTGATAATTTGACTGCTAAATGCGATACACACTTCATTATTTAAGATTTTACTTGACCACAAACTTTCTTCAGTTTTTTACGTATACTTATTAACCAGACATTTTGACGACAAACATTTGATTTAATAAACATTCAAAGTTATTAAAAACCACAATGTTGTGTGTCAATGATTTTGACAAGTTTATGTTGATCATTTTAAATAAGAGTGAAGAAACGCCATAAACCATTAAACGAAAATGATGACATTTTGTTAAAATTATCCAAAACTGAATCAGAGAAACGTAACGCGCACACAACCTTGATTAGGGGATAACACTTATAGAATATTTGGTAGAAATAACATTTGAAAAAGAATGAAAAGCGAAGAGAAAAAGAAAAGAAAAGAWAATAYGYTAAACGAGATACAAGCCAAAGTGCATTTAAATGAGAAGGGCACTAGAGAACATCAGGGGAAAACACATGTAAGAAATAAAATTTGAAAAAAGGAAGAGAAAAGTGAAGAGAAAAAGAATAAGATAATAAGATAAAGGAGATACAATCCAAAGTATATTGAAATAAATATAGTACACCTTAAAAAGAAAGAATTCAAATTGGAGAAAATTTACAACAAGAAWGAACAATAGGACACAAAAACAAATCAAAATTAAAACCGGAAGTGAAGRATTCCAATCGAAATTAAACGCAATGTTTTGATTTTTCGCAGTCTTCATGGCTACATTATGAAAACTAATTTGTTAAAAGATATTATCAACAACAGTGTATCGAGAGATGGCCAATAACATTTATACATTAAAAGAAATTATAGCGAAAAATTTCAAACAAAGAATTCAGCTCTTAGTTGTAAKAAGAATAGCGAAAATCAAGTATGTTTAGACATGTAGGTACTTAATTTTAATGACTCGCTTTGTTATTGTGGTTTTCTTAAGTMTCTGCAGTGTCATGAGATTTGCCTAAGCCACCAGCAGATGAGCGATACATTAGCTTGATATCCAACGGTGTAAAGACTCATCATCCATTCGACAAAACCAGAGATTGATGCCCACGTAAGTACACAAAAACTTTTCCAGTTTATTCTCGTSTTATCTCAGTTTTTATAAATCCTTTTCGTGCTAAAATCAAACATATTTAGGGAAGAATTTTTTTTTAATGCACTTTTTCGACCCTTAGGCGAGTTTGTTTTTACCGTAAGTGCCATGTTAGGATTGAGCGCGCACATTTTCTTATTTTTACTAGTATWTAGTTTCAATACATGCAGACTAGGAACTTTTTTAAGCTTGTGTTCAAAGTAAATTAACATTATCGAGATGAAATTCCATGCTATATGTGCTAAGCGCTCAACAGACAACTTCTATAACACTATGGACCTGGCGAGTACCGTTGCTTTCCTTAAAAATATATATTTTTTGGACAATAAATTTGRGTTTTATATTTATATTATCATATCAATCGAAAATTATGTGCATTTATGACAGTATCTTTTCACCAAAATGATGACATCTAAATTCAAAAAAAAACATTAGCAATTGGAACGAAACGCTTATTGCTTTAAGTCTGTGTACAAAACTCTCTCAATATATCTGTGCTCAATCTATTCTACAAGTATCGAGGGATTTTAGGCCATTCTCGAGTAGTATAAGAAGCTTGTACAAYTTCATTTCCACAAATATTTTAATCGTATCAGCTACACTTCATAAAGTTAAGAGTAGCAGAAAAAAATCTTGGCTATCAATATTGAAAACCGCAAAACACAGCTAACGTAGACGTGGCGAAATCCGCAAACCCAGTAGTACGAGCTTCGACGTTTCCAGTACGTTTACATTGCAGTAAAAGTTTGGCCAGAACGGAAAAGAAAAGCAATATGGTAAAATCTAATTTAAAAACATTTTTATATGCATCTAAACACATTTTAGATTTTAACTCTTTTTCCTGTGGTTTTTAGTTTATTTCTTATCTTTAAGTTTGTTTTCAAAATTATGGTCAAATATGGTGTTCACACATACTTTGATAGTCACAATATAAAAGCCTTCCCAAGCCGTTTGTAAWTTCACAATTCCTTTGCTATAATTAAGCATCTATAAGAAAGGACTTAGCAAGGCTAAAATATATGTCAGAAGTTTATTACGATATCATTATTATTAATATTGTTGTCATTCATGGTTGGACCGCTTATCTTTTTATAGTTATGCAGAAAAGGCGCACACATTCAAACCGCAAAGTAAATTTCTTGTCAAAAACATCAAACATATTTCAAAATATGATTCGGACACGATGTTTATATGGAATCATAAATTTTGGGCTTAAAATGTATGATTTCTTTCCTCATTTGAGAACTATATATTTCGCTCATTTTACTTGTTATTTTTGTGGGATTGGCATGCAGTCTTTAAGATTGGCTGCGGTTAGCTGTGATTCTCCTACAGAAAGAGTGAACCCCAAGAAGCAGGCAGGTTATAGTAAAACTTCACAAGTCATCATTTTCTGAAGTTTTCTTCTGTTATAGAGGAGTCTCGTTTTTCTCATTTTACTAAAAGTTTAATATTTGTAGTAAATCTTCGTAAAGAAGCATGACACGCAAACTTACACACTAAAACAACAACTACAACATAACTAAAGCAAGCAAGATATAACGACAAATCYTGATGATGATGAATAATTACAGATGACTAAAATAAACAGAAAAAGAAACTAAAAGCACTGTAGAAAAACAAAAATTAATGCCAAGATACAATATAACGACGGCGACAAAATAACATGTAAACTACTACTACAACAACAATAACAACAAGAAACAACACCAAGAAACAACAACAACAACACCAAAAAACGGATCATAATATGAAATTGAACAATCTTCTAAAATAAAATGATACAAGCAATCAAAAAGCAAATATAAACAAAAAAAACACTGATCAAAACTTTGATGTATTCAAGATACGTTCTTCCATTATCTATTATTCCACCTGCGAAATCTGAAAAATGGAATAAAGAAGTTCACGCAATGCCTTAATAGCTTTTCTTTCATTATAATCTTATTTGGCATCTCACTGCGAAAAAATCGTAATCGTTTCTATTGCAGCTGAATTAWCACACCCAGAGGCGAYYWGMMMWTATAAAGTTATCAGTTAGTTGTATATTTAAAATCTGGTGAGAAATCCATGAACTGATCTCGGTGAGGAAGGAGTACCCCTAGTTGTATTGTAGGAAATTTATGAATTTTTAAAAGATCTATTTTTTTTTTTCGCTTAGGAAATAACCACTGCTCGATTTAGAACAAATTTATATRTAATTTTCCTTAAGGTTATTTAATCGTTATCACTTTGTAAAATTCGTGCAAATCTTGGCCAATCGTGTCAAAACACTGCAAATGGATATTTGGAAAATCTGCATTTCAATTCTTTTTACCTCGTATTATTTCTGTTAAGTTTCGGTAAATGTTTGACCAATATCTTGATGATCTTTTATATTTTTATTGTATACTTTAAAAATCTAGTTGTACACACTATATACACATAACTGTCTCTTTTGATAAAACTTTTAGAGCAATGCGGCATCACGTTCACACATAAACGTTAATTGTATAATCTTAAAAACCCCGATAATTAACATTTCATGTGTCGATGGGTGATTAATATATTTGTGGGATTAAGCTGGGATTTTGCCGGTGCCAAAATGGCTGACATGGGCAATACTAAACGGACACTGGTAATTTCAAGTAATTCTGTAAAACTAACTAGCCGCCTCTTATACTCACGCACCTAAACACAAAACATCAATTATGCAAGAGAAAGAAAAAAGAAAAAAGAGAGAGAAGGAAATAAAGTTTGAAAATAGGGATGACATGACCGTGAAAAAACTTTTCTAATTTTTTTTTCATTTTTACCAAGAAAATCAATAAAAGTAGCAAAGAAAACAATTATATCATAAAGAAAAAGAACACAAATACTGCAATAAAGTGTAAAACGAAGAATGAAATGACCGGGAAAACAATGTCCTAAATTCGTTTTCATTTCGACCAAGATTAAAAAAATCAATAGAAGTTGCAAACAAAACAATTATGTTATGAAGAAAAGGAACACAAATATTGAAAGAAAATAGAYCAAAATAAAATAGAAATGAAAGCCGGGAATAGGAATGAAATAAATTAGAAATTTAAATTATAAAAAGCTATAAAATAAAAAGGATTTTCATAAGAAATCACCTATCTGAATTTCTAGTCAGATGTTTTGAGTTTGAATTAGCATAACACTTAACTAAACAAAAGGAACTCTTCGTAAACATCAAATTACAACAATTATACMTCTGTCTGTCTGTTGCCCACGTTAGCCGTCACCTCGACGTGTCAAAATACTAAAAAAGTTTTTTCTTGGTGTGTTTAATCATTTGACTTATTGTTGCATTGTGGGATTTGCGCAGTGTCAAAATCAACGCATTATCTCACTTGAACTTGAATTTCATTCTAACTTGTTCTTCGCATAATTGATTATTTTTCTCTTTTCAAGTATGTCTCTGTGGTCAATATGGAAATCTAGATCCCAGAATTCCCGTTAGGCTAAATCGTTTATTTAACAAAATATAACTGGCATAGTTTAAACCAAACTTCTTTAGATGATTTCACTATCGTTTTTAAGGCGCCGGCAAGGTCCGCCTTGATAATTAGCAAAGTAGACGATTCTTGTGTTTTATAAGGAAAAGCAAACTTTTAGGCKTTGTTAACATGATATGGGATGTCCCTAGAGACAAACTATTWTAWTTTTAATCCTATGCGACAAAGYAGATAAAGGASCTWGGCCCCACTACCTAGACACWCCATATSTAATGTAAACAGGGCCTTAGGAAGACACAAAGAGGCCCTACGATCTACCAATATTTCACTACGTCATATACTTCAATGCGAACAGGGTGGATAGCGCTGTCAGCCTGAWAAATCCTCATCCAGATGGTTAAATCCCTGCCAATTCTATGAAGTGGATGATTAAATCCACCTTCTTACAACGTGCCAAGAAACGTTTCGTGAAATCAACYAAGATTAATTGATTTATTAACCTGCAGTGCGAATAGATTTGATAAGAATTGGACGCAGAGTACAGTTGTAGAAGTCGTACAAAATTGACCTTTTAGAATTGTTCTTTATTCATGTTGTTCATTGTGTTGTATAACTGGATTAAGTTTACATAAATGTAAAAAAAATGTAAAAAAATATATAAAGACAAGAAYAAATAAAAAAAAACTTTTCTTTGTTCAAAGAAAGCGAAAGTTTTYCATAAACAGAAAAGAAAAGCAGGAAAAGAATGATTACAAGGAAAAAAAGCCAAATTAACGATATGCGGATGAAATACATACGTAAAAATTAGTGATTTTCTGATTAAATAGATAAAAAYCTTGAAAAATTCACAATATGTTGATGAGATAGATAAAGCAAAAGTTAAAAAAAAGACATAAAGTTGAAAACGTTTTTGTTCGTAAGAAAAAGTAAATAAAAACAAAGAAAAATAAAAGATATAAAACAAGCAAAATAACACAACTAAAGCAAACAATAACGTTTGAACGTTATCCTATTGAGACATTTGAGATCCTCTCTGATCAAATATTCCCTTGCGTATTGGGGACTCGTATTTGCCGGTGCCAAATCTTAGCCAACTAATTAACATTTTGAACATTAGCTTTTATGACATGAAAACACAAAAAGTGCATAACATTATTGGGCACCYATGCAACTAGAAAGCAGTGCAAGAAAATATTACAACTRAAGACATCAATACCTTGGAATATCGAATATTTCATTTTTGAGCTTYCCGTGTTGGGATTATTCCATTTTTGCGGTAAGTTATCTTAGCCAAATACTTACTAATGAAAAAATCCATCAGATTTATTTTGTTAGATGAAAATTGTATCGCTAGTAGTTATTTTCAAGAGTCAATTRTACTCATTTCTTAGTTAAAATGACCATGAAAAACGAATATGAAAGAGTTATTTACAAAAACTTCGGCGATATGAAAGCGTCAATTATAACCGCCGTATCTGAAAGTGCAATTCCACTGTCACGATCTAGAAGACCTAATCGCTGGATATGCGAACAAAAGATTGGGACATATTGCTCTTCATTCGGATAATTATGTATGTGATGAAAGGAAAAAATAATGTTTACTTTGGGAATTTACGATAGGAGGAAAAAAATCGTGAATATATATGTATAATTTCCTGACAATAATGCATACTATACGACAAGCTCAGTGGGATTCCCTCTGTAGTTGGCAAAGCTGAAAACGAAACAAAATAATACTGCTAGATCTATTATGCAAAGTATTCGTATTTCGATATTTGCTACATGATTACAACTTCTAGAATATCAAGTTGTGCAAATGAATTCAAAGTCCCCATGAACGGCTCAAAATTGATCCTATCCAAATTCAAGATTTCTTGTCAATTACTTGCTCGTGCATGAGAAATTGAAGACTAATCTTGTTTGGGTGTCTACCTGTAGCGAGTTTAATCAGAGTGAATAAGCTGGATTAACCCAGAAATCAAGGCTTTTGCCTCTCACTTTTATCGTAAATAACTTGGCAAAGAAGCCCTTTGGCTTATTAGTTGGACTAGCTTAATTTAATGTTATGAAGACCGGACTTAAGGAGATACAATATCACAGTGAATCTGGACTTGTGGAGTTTAAAATCGATTGGCTAGCTGATTGTAAGTGTGCGGTTGGAATATTGCCTATATAGTAGTGAGTATTGGCTTGTAATTACTARCCATCATGGTGTTTCTGCTTTAGACGATTCCCAAACGAATAATTCCTTCACGGCCATTAACGAATAATAGAAAGCTTCAGTTTGGAGATGTGGAAAATTTAAGTACTTGAGGGTTCAAACCCTGCTCCCTACTGTTTCTACGTTCATCAACATTATTCCGTAAGTTAAATTGCCAGGTTTCAAGTCGTTTTTCACAATCTCTCAATCAATAACTCACACTTTCGAGTAAATTTTCATATTGACATAAAATTGGTAACCATTAATCGCAGGAGGAACGTAAATTCACGTTTTCATATCATTTCGTAGACAAACTTATTCATGCAGAATAATATTCCTGTATTTGCTCAGRGCGTTGTTTATAAAGGCGGAGTAATATATAGCGCAAAAGCGGCCTTCAAAACCAAKTAATTAGCACACAGCGTTTTCTGTWTCCAMGCTAACATATACAGCAAGTTTGAATATCTTAACTATTGATATGATATCGAATTTTAAACAAACGGCTAAAAGCTGGCAGTGTGTATCGTAAAAGATTGACCAATGCAGCGAAAACTTAAATAGTATCATTCGTTTCTTTTAATAAAGCAAAGCAAACATAGCAGACAAATGCTTCCATGGTAACGATAATGGGCTTTTGAACTAACATCAAAAAAAGTTCTAAGCATTTATTCCACTTGTCTACAATGGTTAACAATACCGTTGCCAAACTATCTCATCAATCAGTGCCATTTCTGACACTTCCAGACCGTGTTTTCAATGGATGTTTTTCACATAGCATTCGATTGGGTTGACAGTTTTGCTTAATGGCTCACATTGAAACATTTAAAGAAGGTCAGCCGTAGCTTATCTACCTGTGACTCGTCTGATATGAACAAAGCACTGCTCATGAATATATTAAAGAAACAAGATTTAAAATCATGAAAATGTTTTGTCAGCTCTGCAATGAGAACGAGATGTACAACCAGTCATTAGTCTTAGATATAAACAATAATTCAGCACATAACCTATGTACTGCGGTCTTACGTTGTAAATTAATCCTTGAAAACGATCAAAAAGGCTAAATATTGATTCAGCTTATTTGCAATGGAAGTAAAAGACTGGGCCTTTGCTGTGATGCATCATTTAGTGTTTCTTTTCTTTTTGTTTGTTTCTATACTACTCTATTGAACAGCGTTTATAAACTAATGGACTATTGATAGCTAGTTCAGTACTTAAATACTTAGTTACTTCAGTGCATACACTAATTAATAGTTCCCTTCCATTTATCATGTACTGCTAAGGTGCTTGGATGTTTCATAAGATACTACACTACTTAATTAAACTAACTTTTTGGACAACTAGTACTGGTTGCAATGATGGTGGATAAAGAACACATGCATTGAAAATGATTTTATGCTKTGGATAAGAATTTATCCCGTCGATATCACTAGCCACCCTTCATACAACTGGTTTAGAGCTCGTCCCCTGCTCCGATTGGTCAAATAGCTGTSTWTATTTTGCKTATGGGACTTTTCTTAAATAGCATCACGCATTGCATTATGGTATAGATTCGGGTGCACCTTGTTTTTGTAAAAGTCTATGGGAGCAAAATCGAGGAAATAGGCCTTTCTGTACTACAGTGCTAGTGTGAACACGGCGTTTTTTGTACGGTCTGCGATGTATTCTGGTATTTGTAATAACTACCAGGCGAGGTTCCGTGCCGTGTTTCTTGCCGTTGCACAATCATGTGAAATTGGCTCTACGGTCGCCGATGTCTCTGCATGATGTATATTTCACAACGACAGTCCATCATTTATTTCCCCATTATTTATTTCTTTGTTTCAGTGTCGGGTTTCTAAGCAATGAAGAAATATTCTTTGAATTCAAAGAATATATTCTTTGCATGTCGCGGTGTCATCAGTTTAAGGGTCCTRATTATCGCTAGAAGGCATATGTTTTAAACATCAAAATCAAAAGGGAAAAAACTACCTGCCAAAAAGCTCCAGGTAATTTTGAGCATTTTTTGGAGTTTTTCTTTTTATTTCAGGGTTAAGTTTTGCAAGTTTATTGAACTGCGAGTGTGTGTCGACTATCGACACCATATCTCTAGCTTTTCTTGACTTGCAAAGATAAAAAGACAAAAGAAAAAGAAAGAGCATAAAGAATATCATTATCATGCACTATTACTATGTGAATTCTTAGGTGAAGAAACTCGGTGTAATAGCTGTTCTTTTTGCTGACAAAATTTCAGCAAAAAGTCGCCATGTTGTTTATGACCGGCCTTGGTTGACTACCTTCAGTAGAGAGAAAGCACGGCTTAAACAAAATGGCGGACGAGAAAGGAAAATCATCGCTCTGACGTGGGAAAAAAAAAAAAAATCAGCAAGAGAGTCGCTATTCTTGTCATCGCCCAGAATTTAGCTTTTGGACGACGCTTTTCATGTAGAAAACTAGACGGCAAAATCGGTAATTTTCAAACTCTTCCGTTGAATAATGTATGAAATTCAAAACTCGATTCTTCTAACTGAACAGGAATGATTGTTCATGTAATTTGCTCCATGGGACTGGCCACCCAGTTCGYAGAAATMCACGYCACCTTAYGTCTATATGGCTGTTTATCTCCTTGGAGACCYTAGATGATTTCTTTCGCRCGTTCCTCTGGTCAAGATGATCGATTGGCAGACTTTATAAAGSCCGGTTKTCCTCTGGGGATTTTTGATGCAATTTTTCAGGCGTTTTTWGTAGATTTTGCCTCATCGTTGTGGAGAGACGTTTAGAACTTAGCTTATATCAGACTAGTGTGGTACTGACTAAAACTTTACAACTTTACTTTAGCATTATTCTCTAGGATCAAAACGACCTCAAAAATCAATGACGGCGTCATTGTAAACCTGTCTTAAATCAGGAATAAGAATAACAAAAAAGAAATTCAAAAGGGTTGGATAGTTTGTTTTTTTTTTCATTGATTCCAATGCTATCAAACAAGATTACCAAACTAACATTGCATCGTCCATAACCTATGATGATCATCATTGGATTAGCCACAACTTCTCGTACGCGTGGGCTGTTCTCCTCGTATTGTGTGTGTTTCCTCTTGACAGCGCGGGTAAAGGAAGCATCTTGCTGTGATAATTGCAAGTTGAAGTTATCTCTCTTAGACACAGCACTTTTTTGTGACAGAAAACTAATGATCACGCAGCAAGAGTGGCAAAAAGGAACTTTTAGGTCTATTATTGTCTAGTAGCTCTGCTTGACGGATAATATTTCCCCATTTAATCGAAAAAATACTAAAATAACAAAAATTGAAGGAAAAAATAGCTTTCCAAGGTCTCATCCACATTAGAATTGTATAGTCATGTCTTATATCCTTACYATATTAGAATCTCTACAGAACTTTTTAACCAGATAAGTTTCAACCAGTTTTCATTTCATTCTTTGTAGCCATACATTCCGCACGTACAAGGGCACTTGATCTAATTCCAAGGTATTATTTTTCATATCGATATTTTGAATGTAATCAAAACGATTTACTAAAACGCTCTTTGCTAGATAGATTTATTGCTGAATTATTGCATCTTTTAAGAGGTTGACAGTTTTGTGGGAGGTCTATTCCATTTGTGGTCGTYGCTCTATTACCATTATGTTCGTAATAAAAGCTTTTCTGCGTTTCAAGGGCTTTAAAATGTGTTGTTCTAGGACATTCAAGTTCTCGCTTCAGTGTCTCAACTTCATGCCTTAATTGAAAACGAATTATAATCGAATCAGCCCAAATAGGTTACTATAGCCATGCAAGTCTCGCCGATAATAAAAAAAATGTATTGCCACTAAAGAGTTCAAGTTTAAAATATTAGAATGACCAAGTGTGAGATAATAATCATTTGCAAATACGGAAAAAAATTCAAAGTCATCAAAATTTACAAAGAATGTATGGTGAAAATTGTCTCTGACTTTTCTTAGTTTACGATGACATGATACTGATGAAAGGTCAATGTATCGAGCGAAGCGTCTGTTATATAATTGTCAGAGACAACTATTCATAGCGTTTAATTATGAATCCTAACTTCAAAGTATTGTAAAGTTAGTGTATTTTCATTACTCAACCACACACTTTCTTTTAAAATATGYTGAATGTGAAGAGCTACGTCTCAAGTTTTCAAAGGATTTTCTCAATTTTGYTAATATGTACTAAATCTTAATCTGTTGTTTTTAGTGTTGTAATGGTTTTTCACTAATAGCTTTATTTTGAATGGCCAAGCTGTTTGTGGAATGATCTATTGACAACAAAATTTTATTGGTTATTAATTGACATATTTGGCTGAAAAAAATTTAGGCGTCGGTCAATATATTTTATTGACATCAAAAAGGAAATTCGAAGGATACTATACTTATAGTGTAGGTTGTTACATCGATATTACTGTGTTTATAYATAATCTGTTAAAACAGTTTAGTAAAGCCACTTAAAACATGTCTAAACCTAAGCGAGAATGGGATTTAAGATTAGTATATGAGTCTACCATAGATCAACTTGTCACCCGAATAAAATATGATAACATATTTTTAAACTTCGTCTTTTTTAACCCTTGTCAGGGGCGTGCACGATATTTTAGAAACATYTATATATTGCACGARCTCGACGGCTTCCGTCAGTCAAAACTACACTCGATTGCAGGCGAACCAATAACTGGAATAATACGAAATCTAATTATTAGTCGAGGTACAAGTAGGCGGTCTTGAAATACGTTCGCTAGAAGGTTCTCGCTTGTAGTGATCAAATAACATGTTTGTCTGAGCCAGACCGACTGAAGTCGCGTAAATTGAAATGTGCTGCAAAGAGATATCACGYCCCATGATCCTTTACGAGCTTTAGATTATGTCCAGGTAGCACTATCTGTAGATATCTGATAGGTGACTTCTCACGATTTAATAGCAAACTGACTTCCGGTATGCGAGTAACTGGCATAACTGAAATGCATGCTGGTTGTATACTGTTCTTTAAAAGGATGTTTTGTTTTGAGCAGGTGTTTCAGTGACTATAGCTAATCATGTCAGGGAATGTAAGCGAACYCTATTAATGCGCGTTTGTTTTATTACTAGGCACAGTAAAAGACTTCAATGTGATGATGCTTCTATGATTACTCTAGTACAAAGCAAAAATTAAGGTAAGACACAAGCTAACAAATCAATATGATACCTGGTTCCATGAGCTCATTCTATTGCCGTTTTTCTAGACCCCTGAATTGATCTAAAAAATAGCTCTTCGCGCAGCAAAACTGACACGGTAAAATCCTTCTTCTGGAATCAGGGTAGACACGGAGCCATGTTATAGACAATAGTATGAATTCCTAAAAACGACTAAATATTGCGATTCATAATTGCATTCAGACCGAAATCATGACAATKAACTCTTTGCCGTTCAATGCGCGCGACCGCTGTTTTAGTACACAACATACTCACGAAGAGAAAAAGCGAAAGTACGAAAAAATGTTGACATTACAATACCTCTAGAATTTTGAATCTTCTCTGATTTGAGGCGAAGCCTGTATTCCCACAAGACCTAGAGTRTGAGCCTTCTGGAAATACAGGCTAAGCCTCAAGTCGGCCAGAAAATGCGAAGTTGTAGGGCTATTGTAATGACAACATTCTTCGTGCTTTCTTTTGTTTTTGGTAAGGACTCTGCACATGAGAGACCGCTGTCAACTAAAACAGCGTTTGCTCGCTTTGAACGGGAAAAAGGRGTATTCKGTCACTCTGAAACAGTGACACGCCCCTTTTAGAGCGTTCTTRTGTGCMTATTTGGTCAACCAAAATATCAAKAAAATTYGGCTATTAATATKTGGGGCCGTTAGGGGCCTTAAGGCAGGCCCCATTCAGACASTGATGTGAATGTTCGGATCAKGTTACGGCAAATAACATATACCTTTTTAAAAAGCCTTTTAATAGTCTCCATGAAGACTGGCGCTTGTGTTTTAACTTTTTCTTAAATATCCTCTTGGTCACGGATACCTATATACCATGGGCACCTCTATTTCACGGACACCTCTATATTTCGGACACCTCCATATCATGGTCACCTCTATATTTCGGACACCTCTATATCATGGACACCTCCATATCATAGACAGCTTTATATTTCGGACACCTCTATATCATGGACACCTCTATATTTCGGGCACCTCTATATCATGGACACCTATATATTTTCGGAACCTCTATATCACGGACACCTATATATTTTAGAACCTCTATATCACGGACACCTCTACATCATGGACACCTCTATATCACGGACACCTTTATATTTCGGACACCTCTATATCACGGACACCTCTATATTACGGACACTTCTATATGATCACGCACACTGTCAAGTGCTCTGTAGTTTTTTTATAGATATACGATATACAGTTTTAAGTAGAATGAAGTAAGACAAAACAAAAACTCGAAGCTTAAATATGTCTGTTTTATTTAAGACGTTTCGGCACTTCGACCTTCTTCAGCAAACTGAGTGTTTTGCATGCGATGACACTCTTTAAATACTAACAACAGTCAGCAGTTACAGTTTTTATATATACATATATAAAATGTATACAGCTGTTTGCAATAATTCTCACCCCCCTACACTAATATTCATATATATCAAAATAGCCTTAGAAATTATGGGATACCATTGCTGATATTTTTTTTAGAAAGTACTCATTCTGGACAACTCAAAAAATATATCAGTCATGATATCCCATAATATTTAAGGTCAGTTTGATATATTTGAAATATGGCAGAGGGGGTCAGAATTATTGCAAACAGCTGTACCATCGTGTTATATTGAGACTATCACAAAAGTAGACAATGCCTGAGGGTACACAATGTCCGAGGGCTGTCATTTAAAAAAAATTATTCTAGAAGTAAAGTTTTAGATTGTGTAACGCCCCCTCACCCTTTCCGTTGGGCATCAACACACRCCCTCCCCCCTCTCCTTGTTGGTTAAACGTCGTGCCACAAACAATACAAGCGAGAGGAAAAACGGAATAAATTTGCGTTTGGAACGATGTCCATTACCACAAGAAAAGTTAAATTTAAAAGACAATACTTCAAACATACGCTAGTTATGCATTTAAAACACTAATCGAGGCTTAAATGGTATTCTTTCGATTCTTTAAGGCCCGTTTGCACTTTTTATTTTTGCAGAGCTATTCTCGTCGCTCGACCATCGCCTGAGTTTCGAACATGCTTGTAAATTGACTCCAACTTTGCGGGGATTTGCCATCGCCGCAACAATCGCACGTCTGCTTACACGTACGATTTTAGTTGCGCGATAGCAAAGTGGCGATTATCGCGCGACAATTGGGCTGCAAAAATCGCAAGTGTAAATGGCTTTTGCTGTACAGGTCGTACACACGTTAATATACGTTCCGCTACAAAGGGTACAAGTGTAGTTCTATAGTGCTATTTCCCCATTTGATGATCAATATCTTCCTATCTCCTTTATCATCATTCCTCTAGATCTATATAAACCATCCTATTTGAGATAATCTTCGATAAATCGATGATTTTAGATGTTTTAAAAAAGGGCCCTCGTGGATAAAACCTTCATAGCCGGGAGCTTGATACAGGGCTTAGAGATATCGCACCTGATGKGGTTAATATGTACCTTGTCAGATGCGAATRTGATCGTAAGACGTCCYCAGASTGCATGAAGCTAATAAATCTTTCAAGAGATAGAATAATATAAATAGAAATATAAGGACAATTTGCTTTATTGCAAGATAGTGTTTCAAGACAAACGGACGCGCGCTGAACTCTGCTTTGAAGTGGGTAAGACATTATAATGCATGTTTCATATTCGTGCATGTAGCTACGTATATCGGAAATATATTGCCCTTTTAACCGATATAGACTCACAAATGCGCTCTAATTGGACCGTTTGATGTCGCTATCTGACTCATCAGCGATAAAAAAACTGCTGCCAATACTTAAGTGACTTGGCTTTGTTCTAAACGGAAGAAATTTTGGACCATTTTAAGAATTTTCAGCCATTATTCTTATGATGTCAACCGTTCGACATGCAGGTGTTGAAGCTTTTAATTAAACTCGTGTCAAAAGTCTTAGTAAACAGTCTTCGAGATGAATTCGATGGGGAGGAAGCGCGGGTAACTGAACGTCAAAAAAGCTAAATACAGCACGCTCAGTCGAAAAAAAGAAGCAGACAAGTTTTAGCATTTAAGCTCATTACACTGCCAAAGGGAACGATAATTAATGCTCTAACCAAATAGTCTCACGCTGTGGCTCATATCTATTTGAACATATTTTTAATTCTACAATTCAAAATATTGCACAATTTCGATATMTTTTACCATCGCTACCCTCAGTAGTAATTTTTCTATCATGTCGCCGAAAGACTCGGGAACTGAAATTAGTTGTATTAGAACGCTGGGACTTCATTTACCACATAAGTTTTTACTATAATATCGGAGCTCGTTAATTTATGTATGTAACAACATAACAACTGGGAGGACGCTGTTGGCACGGCTGGAGGATATTATAGTGATACTCGATAAATAGCCTTCATGGCCTCGTCGCTTTAGATAGAAAAATCTACTTCTCAAAAGAAAACTCCCTAATTTCCTTTAACTGTTCATATCATAGAGACATGCTAATAATTTGTTATCTTATACATTTCTTTCGTTCCGTTATCCCCATATTTTGTTTTCCAATTTGATATTGACTCATCATTTTATCAGTGAACTCCACGGGGGCCAATCTTAAGATTTTGATTTCTAAGGAAATCTTCTAAATTGAGAACCAAAAGCGACTTCAAAAAGGGTTCTTCTCTTTCAAGAATGCCGTTATTCGTCGCCATCTTTGTTCCTGTACTCGTAAGATATTGTTTACTAAAGACATAAAACTACAGGTCCTCTTAATTTAATTTAGTAGTAATCAGCACAATGATGCGTACAATCATGTACGTAATAATGCCCAAAGGGGCTCTTCATATGTTAAGAACATACATAAATTGTACACTATCGTGCTAATCTTAGCGACTACACGTCTAGCATTTGACGGTCAAAGGGGCACATCTAGAACCCCTCGATTAAGAGGTATGTCTATATAACTTCCTTGATTGTGTTTACTTTCCATTTGAACTTCTGTTTGAGATCGTACTTTGAATTTTCCACGAAAAAAGCGCTCTAGGTAGGGAAAATGAGCTCAAATTCTTAACTCGTTTGTTTCGATAACCAAGATACACTAATTTATTTGAAAGAAACCAGATAAAAACTACAGATAGAATTAGCTTTATGAGTAAATCTACTCGTGTTATTTATCTTTTTGATTTTTACTTTCCATTGCGCAAAACCCTACATATTTAGTCAACGTTTGGCTATCTTGATCCAAATCTTGAGGCTTAAATTAAGCTTAGAAAAAAAAAATCGAAGGCTGGGAAACGCAAAGAACGAGAACAGCTATATATTACAAAAAWCTTCAGTTTGGAATATATTTTATTGATGTTAGGCTTAAGAGTAGATATCTCGAGTTAAAATCTTGCGAAAACGATTACGTTCAAAACGTGGAATATACGTGAAATGCGATTGCGCACAGCTGTATCAGCAGTCTTTCGCCCCTCAGTATTCAGAACAGAACATTCTTTTTTCAGAACATCTAAATCTTGTGCGTTTGTCAATGAATAACACAGAGCTCAGACTAATTTATGAATAAAGKATGGTTAACAGCGAGCTTCTTCTCATTTTTTTATGTTTTTAATTTATATAATATATCTGTACATTTGACGTTTTGCACATAAAGTTCAACGCTCGACACAAAGACGGAAATGAGTTCAGATTGACACATAATGCWGAGTTTGTTTGGTGGATAATATATTTTTCCTCGTGTTTAATCAAAAATGTACTTTCAGAACGACTCCAAAATCATTTTGGTTTTGTGGTAACGTTTATGTTATTAAATAAAAAATGCCACCAAATAAGATTGAAAATATTTGGATTCTTTTTATTGATTTTGTTTTCTTTTGTTGGTTTCTCGAAATTACTAAACATGAATAATAACGCGAAGATGAAATAAAAAAAATTAAATTTTCCTTCTTTAGGGAAAGGGATTAGTCATTCTGAATTTTAAAATTAAAAACAATAAAAAAAGTGCAGTGACATAAAAATATGATAACTCCTAAATTCTAGAAAGGGTATTTTTAATGTTGAAAAAAAAAAAAACAATTGTGTAATCCAAGTAAAAYCAGGAGGAAATTTTGTTTTGTTCATTGGATAGTAAAATTGAGCACGAAAGTCGAATTGACATTTTATAGGAAGGAAATTTTATTAAGACTTATTGCAAAGTTTATTTTCATTTAATTTTGTACACAAAAAGGAACTTTCAATGTGTCATACAAATTTCGTTAAAAAAGGTAGAATACTAAACCTTCGCACGCATTAATTAACATTTCGGGATTAAATGTCTTTAAAGAAAGCTGTGTGCTAAACGTAAGTGCACAATACACTCACTTAAAGATCTTTGCACCAAAAAAACCTAAAGCTTTTAATGTCTAGTCAGCACAAGTGGGACAATTGTTCTTTTTTCCCTTAAACTAAAGCTGATAATTCAATTTTGACGACAATGCTCTTCGAAAAGTAGCTTACAAGCGAAGTAAAAGAGCAGATGAAATACAGCACTTCATATGTTAATTACCCAGAATGAATTCATAAACAGTGAACAAAATGAATAGAAGTGCACTTTTCATAATTTATATATATTAAAAATACAAGAAAAAGCTCAAAAACTGGTAAAAAAATGTCCATTGATGTTAAACCGATGATATTTTTCACGTTATTCATTTCCGCGTCCCCTCCAAGGATGAAGGTACAGCTAAAGTCCTAACCGCAGCTACGGGTATTCTGAAATCAGGTGCCACTGTGAGATCCCCTCCAAAACAGCGGTAAATCTTTTTGTTATATCCACGAGGTGGTGTCCGCTAATCCAGGTTAACTTTATCTCAGTAATGAGATTTATCATATTCTACTTCTGCATACCGAACATGTGTATTTTATTCATTGTTTCTTGGTAAAAAATATGCATTGCATTAATTTTGAATCAAAGGGTTTTATTTCGCTTCATGGATCGTTTCCTTGCTTTTTATTTCGTTTCATATGTCAAGTTTTGTTGCATTTCATTGCGTTTCCTTGCATCAGTATATTTGTTTTATTTTATTTTATTTTTGCTCTTTACTCCGACGAAGGATTAACATCCGAAACGTCAGTAAGTTATTCCACATACTTTTTTACGGTGTTAAATTTATCTTTTTACATAACTGTTTGTTTTATTATTTCGTTTTATCTTATTTTCTTCCTTTTCATATATTTTGTTTCGTTTCACTATATTTCACTTCATATTTCGTCTTGTTTCATTGAATAATATTTTTCTTTTTTCCTTTTTTTTTCATTTGTTATAATTTAACTCTTTGTTATAATTTAATGTAAGTTTTTTTCATTAAAAAACAACAACACCAAAAAAAGAACCTAATGAAGCTATCATCGATTCGTGACAAGACAATTAACCAATCAGCGTGAACCAAAGGGGAAWCGTTTACGTTTGATAGTGTCTTATCGATTTACGTTTACGTTTGATGGTGTCTTATCCATTTACGTTTACGTTTGATGGTGTCTTATCCATTTACGTTTACGTTTGATGGTGTCTTATCCATTTACGTTTACGTTTGATGGTGTCTTATCCATTTGCGTTTACGTTTGATAGTGTCTTATCCATTTACGTTTACGTTTGATAGTGTCTTATCCATTTACGTTTACGTTTGATAGTGTCTTATCCATTTTAAGGCCCGTTCAAACTTGCGATTTTCGCAGCGCGATAATCGCCGCTTTGTAATTGCGKAACTCTAATTGTACGTGTAAGCAACCCTGCGATTGTTGCAGCGATGGAAAATCGCCGCGAAGTTGCAACCAATTTTCAAGCATGTTTGAAACTCAAATGATGGGCGCGCGACGATCGCCGCTAGAGTCGCTCTGCAAAAATCGCAAGTGTAAACGGGCCTTCTCATCGCTCCGTGRGAAATCCGCTGAAATTTGAGCCCACAGTACATTACATAAATCATAATCATTGTTTATCACAAAATAACGTTTTTCCACGTATTTTTTTACCATGCGGAGAAGACAAGGCTAAAAATTGTAACCCCAGATCATCGTCTTCAATTCTTTTGTGCGTGGTTAGTTTGACCATGTAGTAATATCGAAAGCAGACATTTTTAGTAATTGTTTATTTATACAAATGTGGCTTCATATTTCTAAATGATTTATCTATTATTGGTCATTGTTTGTGAACTATGTTTGCTGAAAACATTTTTGCTGAGTCTAAAACTTCGAATTTTTAGGTACTTTGTCTGAAGGCAGTTCATCAATGCAGAAAACACGACGATCTTTTATAGAGGCACATATAGTTACAAAAACCTTGTCTCAAGAAAAACGAACTTTTATTTAGGAATTATCATTTAAATAAACTGAAAAATGTGTTCAATTTAAGTAGCCATTTTTTTGTCTTTTATATATTTCTGAGTTCCAAAATCCCTAAATCTTTGGACAACATTTTCTTAATTAGTTGTAACCAAAATAACCGAATCTTATAAATCTATGTAGGTCAATTCTAGCCAGGGGCTTAAACGCCCCCATTCCTAATTTGTGATCACACTCTCGAAAGCCGAGATACCTTTATATCATCCCCTCTGTTATAATTCACGAGGAATTGGCAACCACTATCGTTTAAAACAACCCTCAGATTAAATCGTTACAGGTTAAGTTCTCAGCCTCAAGTCCTTTTTTATGTATTTTGGCTGATACGAACAAATTGCTAGGCTTTAATCTTTTACTAGTCTACACAACGATTATTTAAAATCAAATTGAAGTTATGCAGTTTAATTAGAAAAGCTAAGTGGTACCAATTACTTTAAATTGTAAAAGCACCCCAACTGGAGCCCTGATCAAATAATCTTGTTCATCTGTGTGGACGTATAACTACATTGACAAGAAACTGTTGTTGACATCAGTGACATTGTGAGTTTGTATTAGTGCGAAAGCTACAAGCATTGCTGTGACCGTCAGGATCACTTTCTTTGAAGTGCTAGCTTGTTAGTTTGTTAGCGATAACCTCTACAATTGATTGTAAAAGGGTTTCGTGTTTTGGTTTGAACTAGTAAGGGGCCTTATCATAAGATCAACCCACAGTCGATTCGAATCAACTTGCTATTGGTACCACAATAGCTAGTTACAAAATCCGTGGTTTGTCGGCTGATAATTTTCGTACTGCTCTTAAAAGCTTTTCACCGCGAAACTATGAATCACTCATATCGGTAAAGACTTGATTTTGATTACTTCCTCACCGACTGCTCTTATTTATATCGTTAGAAAGATCACCAGCACATTTCACATCGACTCGATATAGGCGCAAAGTGAGTTAGTATTGTAAGGTTATAAATTAGATATTCCTGTTGGTGTTATTGCTGTTYTTGTCAATACTCTCCAGGCCTTGTTTTAAAACCTCAACAAAACCAGAAAAATTTATTCAAAGCGCGAGGTATTCAGCTGATTTTTAAACATTTTTTAAGCTGCGAAATATTTATCAAACCATTACCGTATATATTGTGAGGTATGAAATTATAATTGATGTATTTTATTATTACATGTGTTTGTTATCGTTCACTGAATGTTATTCTCTTCATTTTCAGCCTATTACTCTTCCAATTATGGCTAGTATGGTAAACATTTTGGTGTTTTTGATTGTTTCCCTGAGTTTSCTTGGTTTCCTTGGTGCAAAAAAGCCAAAAGAACAAGTAGGATTTACATTCAATCCAAACGATGTATTCAAACTACCTGGAACAGACTTGTCTCACATCCAAGAAAATATGACACGTCCTACAGGAAAAGAACTAAGCGCTGCGCAATTGTCAGAGAATACACTAGACCATAAGTGTTCAAATGGTCTACCTTTGGCAGCAACATGGCAGTACTACGGTCCATACGCGAGACCTCTTCAAGGTAAAGAYAAGAAAGGTCATYGTAAGATTGTCGGAGTAGGGGGGATTATACCTCATCTGGTGAACAAAATGRTGAAGGTTTGCTGTAAGCCAAACACTCGGGTCTCTAAAGGCAAAATCATCGACTCCATCACTGAACTAGAATCGGAATTAGAGGACCCAAACACAGCATATGACTTCACTTTCCCGATAACTGGCTTCAGTGCTGAAGACAAGACGTTCAAAGACATGGTGTTTATTCCGCTGGTCGAGGCWCCAAGGATTGCACTGCTTGTCATGGACAAAAAAGGCGCCGAAAAYACTTCTCAGTTGCTAAAGACAGTCACCAAAGCGTGGCCTATCTTGGTTTTTATTCTAGTTGCAGCAACACTTTCGGGGATTATCATATGGGCTTTGGTGAGTACACTTCTGCGGTCATTTTGGCAGGGAGCACGTAGACATTTTTGAGGTGGAGGTTTGCGTTACTCAAGATTTAACTCGACTCAAACTAAATTGTTAAGAGAAGAATTAACAAGGTGGACATACAAWCTAAAAAATACACGAAACTCTCTTTATAGTACAGAAGTTTTGATTTACCTTCACCCTGGACATCCCAGAATGCATTGCTGTTTAAGATAGACCATGTCACCAAAATAACAGATTTATATAATGTTTTGGTATTTGCTTCTCTCTCATCTTTTTTATATCGATCAATCTCTTAACAATTTGTTTTTCTTGTGAATTGGATGATATTCAACGCCTGATTAAAGGGAAAAAAGCTTTATATATTTACCACCTACAAAACTGYGTTATATACACCTACAAAACTGAATTTGGGGTACTGTTGCTTATGGGCTGGTCATACCATATTTGTCATTGCTGTAACATTTCAGGGTTGAAAGATAACTTCTTAAAGTGCACATGATACCATTAGAAATTCATTCGCATACACAAAAGAGAAAATACTGCTGAGTACATTTTTGAAGAAAGAAATTGATTTTAAATTGTATTTCCTAAGTTATAGGCAATTGAAACTTAGAAAAAACAAATGAAGTGAAGTCTTCTAAGGAATGATTTAATATACAAAATCTTGAAAGAGGACGTTATTCTTTTTGTTACATTGGAAAAAAGCATTTTCAGCTCTCAATTATTACTATGATTGATGATTTGAGCTCTTCAACCAAGAACAACATAACACAAACAATGTAAAAAGACTGGACCAATTCCTTAGTTGACTTCATTTGCTTTTTCAACTTCCAAATATCTGTAACTCAGAAAATACAATTCGACAAAATCTATTTCTTTTTACATAAAAGTGCTTTTCAGCGTGTTATCTTTCGGATAAAAAATGATTTTCGAAAAGGTGACATGTGCACTTTAAGATTAATTTCGAGGTTGATTATGGCATGGCTACATATATGTCGTTGTATCATGGGTCCTTATGCATGGGAGTATAGCCACATGTGRCATGCTTGTAACTTGTAATAGTTGATTATGGCACGACCACACGTACGTCATGGCTGTATCTTGTCTCAGGCGTTTTAGCATGATACCATGCGTCATTGGGTGAAAGGCCTTTTTAGAAACCRCTTTCACTAAATCYCATCACATTAGGACGAGTTAACGCAAMCTTCAATCATTCCGACATGATTTATAAACATCAGGAATTGTGTAGGAAGTAAGATTTTTTTAATAATTATCAAAAGCCTACACTGATTTCCAGGATTGTTTGATTAATTAATGCTAACTAAGCTAGTTTAGAGATCAATATGAAGGTTAAAGACTTTCGGCTCGGCTTTTGTATTGCACGTTAAGATCTTCCGATAGATTATATTTTAACTATTACTTTTGTAAACAAAAATTCCATATTGTTTGCACTAGCTGCTCACGTGACCCTGTCTCGCCACAGGAAAGTCGAAGTCAGCTTATTGCAAAAAACGCAAAAAAAAAAAAAACCCGCCACTTTAGAGCTCGTAATGATTTTTTATTCTTCACACTTTAGGATCGTTTGAAAAACCCCGACGAGTTCCCGCGTCCATTCATCAGTGGAACATGGGAAGGGTTCTGGTGGGCCTTTGTCACCATGACTACGGTTGGGTAAGTGCCACCTTAAAGGCCGATTTAGACGGTACAACTTTTGCCTACAACTATCGCATGCAACATGCATAAGCCATCCTTACAACATGTCTACAACTGTCGTATGGTTATCAAACAATTGATTTTAATCTCTACGACAGTTGTAGCCAAGTTGTAAGTATGACTTACTCATGTTGCATGCGATAGTTGTATGCAAAAGTTGCACCGTCTATAAATCGGCCTTAAGATTTATCAGCACTGTCAATCACAGCATCTTATTGCTCAGTAGCAAGAATTACTCTTAAAAAAATATTTTCATCTACTATTTCTCTTTATACTATGCAGTTTAACATTTAACTATTGAGTTTCACATTCTGTATTTTATGTGTGAGGAATTGGTTTTTCTGTGGTTCTGATATTTGGATAATAAATGCGGTTTTCGAATCAAAATTACTGTATTATTTTCACATCCTCGATTTAATAGTGCACAAACACTAAAACTGTGCAACATAAATACCATTAAATATTGATAAATTATGCTAATTCTATTGTTTTCTATTGTTTAATTAACACTATTTTGTAGTAAATAATGAAGAGTGTTGCACACATTTAATGTTTGTACTCTATTGTTCTTRGTTGTATAGATATGGAGACCGTGCGCCCAAGTCACTGCTGGCTCGCATCTTTTGTATTGTCTGGATCTTAGTGGGTATCGTCATCATTGCTATATTCACAGCTATCATCACAGCCTCGCTTTCAGCCAGTATTCAACATCACTTTACCGTTCATGGWGCARTAGTAAGTYCCCACGTGATGATCARGTSATGATTAAAATTGGCAATATGCAGAGAGCACCATTTTCTACGATATCTTTTCTTATTAGGTGGGCGCTGTGAATGGAAGCGAAGAGTACCGTTATGGAGTGTCACTCAACGCCAAAATGATAAGTAAGTATTGATAAYAAATTTGTTTAGGTTGCGTTTATGAAACGTATCATTTTCGAGACCGTTCGCATGATCTTGTATCCGTTTAAGCTTATCTATCACAAACCAGTTTGACTGTATCTGGATTTTTGAAGAAAGATTTTCAAAAAGGGTACTTTTAAAAAAGACAATCGTTTTTTGCATAAACGCGCATAAAAACTATCCTCAGTAGGCGTGTAGCGTGGACTTTTTGGCTAGTACGCACATGTTAGGGGGCGAAACATATTGTGGATTTGGGGGTCTAACGACCGCCAAAAGCGGGAGTATTAAGGGAGTCTACATCTCCCACAGGAAATTTTGAAATAATAACTCTTGGAAATGCGATTTCCAGCGTTTTGAGAGACATCAGGGCATATAAAAGGGATAAATTTTGCGTGACATTTTCAGTAATTTTTGTGAACAATTTAGCATTTCCTTGTCACTAGTACGCACGTGCGTATATGCGTAAAGGACGCTACGCGCCTGCTCAGTATCTAAAACACTCGGATACGTTTAATTAATGCATGTTCCAACAAGTTTAAATGATTTCATTTCTTCCACAGAACAAAAGAACATAAATTTGACGCTCACAGCCCTTCAAAATGGAGACACAAATGCGTCGTTGATTGACAATTACGTATTAACGTACTATCACCAATTTGTAAAAACAGTAGACGTACGTATCGAGACTACGTATCAACATCCTATTACGTATGGTATTGTCTTAAGGAATAACGCAACGCAAATGGAAAAATGCTTCCGTTCGTACATGCGCAACCATCCGCAAGAAGTGTTTGAAATCATTGCTAAGAATCTGGAACCYTTAGAGGTAAGCTGTTGATGTGTTTCTAGTGACTTATTCAATGGACGTTGTTTCTTCGCTAGGGACCTCCATACACAAAATGTTGGAAACTAGTGGTGAACTAGTGTGAACTGCGACGGTGTTTCTAAAGAAACAGTTGTGTAAAAAGATAAATTTGACACCGTAAAAAAATAGGTAAAACAACTTACTGACGTTTCGGACGTTAATCCAACGAAGGATTTGAAATTTATCTTTTTCACAACCTCTATACACAACTGTTGCCTCTTTTCAGACAAGCACTAGTAGAGCGGATTTCGGCATGGTACGGTCACGGAACCTCGTCTTCCTAGTGATTCCAAATGAAAATAAAGATACCGCCACGGCGCGTAGGTGCCGTGTTTTTTGCACAGTCATACCAAATCCGCTCTAGTACAGTGTGCTCCTGATATCATTATTATTATCAATCTTGTATGATATTTCTTCTAGAATCCAACAGACGATGAAAGCCAAGAAGTCAAGGCCTCTCGGGAGTTGTTCTTTTACAGCGAGCCGTCATTTAAGCTAGTACTGCATATCATGTTAGGTGTTGTAGGATCGCTTATCCTAATTGGAGCRGTTTGGGAGTTTTGCTACCACAAGCCTCGCGAACGTAAGAAACTATTCTTTACTAGAGTTATAGGTTGGTCAGTTGCACGGTCGGTTGGTTGGTCGGTTCATTTTTTGGATATTGTTCATATGGTTGTTGCTGTTGTTATTATTTTTATGGTTGATAGGTAGTTGGTTGGTTAGTCGGTCGGTTGGTTGTCGGTCGGTCGGTCGATTGGTTCTGTGGTTGCTCCAACGTTGGTTGGTTTATCCTTTTTTGATTGGTTCCTTTTTAATGGTTGATTATTGGTCGGTCTTTGACTATAATATCCATTGAATTCGTACATCGACTGACGAGTCTTAATCAAAACCATTTTGCAGGTCGATTAAAGGAAGAAAGCAAGCAAAAAACAGGTTCTTACTTGGCACTGTCTCCAGGCCAAGGYGGCAAATGCGATTGCCATGAAATGATGTTGAATCACCAGACAATACAAGCTATCAAAGACAAGTCTATTCGCATCAGAGAACTTATCAAAGAGTACGAAGAATTCTATGAGGCATGGCTAGCGAAAGTTAAAGCGCTTGAACGAGACGACAACGGTCACGTGACTCCTGATATGGTTTAATTAGCACTAATTTAATGTTCAATTTCTGCAGAATTTGATGTATACCACCGTTTAAATGTTTCAACCATGCATGATGTGCAGCGCYATAGGCGCAAAAAACCTTTAAATTTGGTATAAATGTCCAAGATCTCGAGAAATAGTCGATATGTGCAAAGGTAGAAAATGTTGGCAACGACATGAAAGGATGTATTAGGAGTACAGGCAGCCCAGCAATGAACATTTTCAAGCTTCCCACACTTTGCAGGAAGCAAAACTYCAAGAAAAGGTTTTCCAGTCAGTGTATAGAGATTTTTAAATATGATCATCAAAATTAAATCCAAGTCGAAGAAAGAGTCAAAGCAATATGGTAGCCAAGACAAAGGCAATGGAGTTTACGCTGTTGGCCCCGGTAACCGACCAACGTGACGTTGGAAATGAATGATCGCTTTTTGGAGGTCGTCACAGTTTATATATAAACCTTAGAACGAGATATTGACAGAAAAGGTCGCTTTAGCGAGATGGTCGATATCAAGGGGGCTAGTGCACTGTAGTGAACACTTCAAGTTAGACCAACGAACAAGCTATTGCGATTTTATGAGCTTTACGGGCGAAGGAATACCGCAATACTTGTAAAAAAACACTGGAAAGAATTACACACTTTAGTTTTTTGGAGCAGTTTTGAATATTTGTTAAAAATCGACAATTTTATTAGCGTGATAACCTCAATATAAAACTGTTTAAAAATTTCTTAAAATCTATATGCCATTCGACCACTAAACTTAATGACACTACTGCATGAACATCCCAAGAAGTCTCTGTATTTTTCTTACCTGCTCCAGTATTGGGCTTTCTGTGTCTTGGCAACACAGGAAGCCCACTATCAGGCTGATAAAGAAAATCTAAAGATATCTGATTTATGCGCGTATCTTTTCTCGTAAAAAAGACAATGAATGTATAAATAAAACTTGACAAAAAAACACTCTATTTAAACAGTTTTTCTTATTTGTTTGTTGTTGTTGTTGATGTTGTTTTTGTTTTTGGTTAATATAACTCTAAACTAACCTTTTATCGTTTTCTTTTTTCAATGAGGAATGTTTTCGATCAAAGAAGAGTACTACTCCAAGCTATAAATAAGAAACGTTTCCAACAAAATTTGAAAAAACTTCAGTCATTTGTAAAGTTTGGGCTACCTGTGTCGTAGGTTTATCCCCGAGATATTTGATCATTTCTGAACTTTGATCGTACGTAACCACACTATCCGTGCATGATATCGCGGGTTATTCTCAATTTCATTGAAGTTTGGATTACCTGTGCTATTAGTTTGTTAGTATTTGATCATGTACACTGTCTGAACTTTGATCATAACCACTACAGACCGGCGGATGCGGTAATGTTCACTCACTTGCTCCAGAAACCAACAATTGTAAGTCAGTGTTTATCAAATACTATATCGTGTTTTTATCAGTGCATTGTCATATATAACTACTGGAGTATATATTATTTCAAAATCGCTCGCTGTCTGGGATGGCGCCATCGAACGGCGATCTTGTCCAGCGACCATTGCCTGACCATGTGACTTGTTGTCCTTTTTTAACTTACAAAATTTAATGCATGCTGGGTTCACCTTGTTCATTGAAAATGGATACTAAATGGAGCCAATGGTTACCATAGATCATCAGTTTTTATTTCAAATCGAGTAAAACCCATGAGTCCTTTTGGTCGTGCAATTGCCGTTTGACAATTGACATTCGACTTTTTTTGCGACGAC